GTAGGTAGATGGCTCTGCTTTATGACCAGCTGGCTCTGTCATACTAAACATGTTGCATCCATATCCATCCCTGTATCCAGGGCTGCTGTTTCAGTTGTTAACATTCTCTAACTAGCAGGAAGGAGGTCAATGAAAGTCACAAATTAAAAATATAACTCGTAATGTATCACTTTTGTTCACATCTAGTTATGAGACAGGCTGGGGGAATGTAGTTCTGCCTCTGTGGTCAAAACTCAGGAGAGAGTTATTAAAAGGAAGAAGAAAATGGATATTGAAGGAAGCTGAGCAATTTCCATGGTAAGGTCTAACATCCAAACAAAAGGACATCCAAAGAGAACCAAAGAAAAGAGCAGGGAGGAAATCAGCAAATAAATATGTATTAAAGTGACCAGGTATTGCTGGGATAACAAACAATCCTTAAATCTTAGTAGCTTATAAAAACAAAGGTTTATTTCTTGTTTAAGTCGCATGTCCATCACAAGTCAGTCAGCTAGGGTTTCTGTTCCATGCTTTCTTACTTAGACCAACAGAATTTTCCATCATTTAGGAAAGTGTTAGTCATTGTGATGGCAGGTGGGTGGGGCCCCTGGTGAATCATATACTCATCTCTAAAGCTTCCACTTGTTATTCTTGCTGTCACTTTACTGGCTAAATTAAGTCAAATAGCTAACCTAACTTCAAGTCAGGGCAAACTTCAAGGGCACAGCAAAGTTCAATTTTATGTGCACAGGGGAAAAACTGAAAATATTTAGTGAATGATATTAATGACTACCACAGCTCACGTAAATAATTGGTTGACTCTCCTTGCAGGCAAAAAACACTCATTACCCCCACAAGGGAAACAACTCAAGAGGCCCATCTTGTCACTGTATAAAGCTCAAAGTCTAGACTCTTTGTTTGAGTCTAGACTCATTTCTTTGGGTGATAATGTGGTAGTCTCTAAAGCAGGTGTAAATGTGGCTCTTCTGTGTCCAGGGATGTATGAACTAAAAAGCTAACTTATCTTCCTTCATCTACCAATACATGGTGGTGAAACAGGTTAAGTATAAATTTAGAAAGAGGAAGGATGGAGACACAGACAGTAGGCCACTGCAAAAAATGTAATAAAATGGTAGTTTCCAAACTATTTTTTCCCCCTATAGAACATTTTTAAAAATGTTATGTGGAACTCAGATGTATAAAGTAGATCAAAGTAAATTGCTCTGCTTGGAGATTGGAATGCTGCCTGACCTCCACTTACCCTCAACCTAGGGCTACTCTTGCGGAAGCATCATGAAACCTTTGAGGTCATGAAATATAGTGGAAATGAAGTCATCAAAGGATAGCCAGGATTTTTTAGGGCAAAGAGGAAGAGAAAGTATCAAGGGAAAGGGAGATTATGGACAATAGACTGCAACTTTCAAATAACCCAGTGGAATGATCTGGGAAGGTGCGAAGCCTTGGGAAACTGGGTCAGGTGAGGGGATGTATAAGGTGGTATGTTCTCTCCTTTCATCATACTGGCTTAAGCAATGTTCCAGCATAAACTCAACCTTTATGCTGCTCTATGCTTTCACCTGAACAGCTGACCATTGCTGAAGAGAACATATAATTAGGCCAACTGGTCAGACCTTAAAATTGTGTCCACACATCTCAAATTGGCATTCAATATTGTCTGGTAATTTTGTTACACTTACTTAATATGTTCACATTCTCACTATCTAAGCAATTATTTAACCTTGTTTTTAAGCCTTGAGCTTCTGATACTCCACCCTCTGCAAACAAAATCATCTTTCAATAAATATTTATTGAACATCTATTAATTGTCAAGCATTCTTCTAAGTACTAGAGATAGAGCAGTGGAACAACAAAAATTCAGTGGATCAGGGAGCCCACCCAAGTGCTTTATTGTCAGAGAACATTTAACAGGAGGATCCCTGTGTAATGTTTTCTGTCTCTCATAAATCCTGTTCTTTATCAGTTCCTGGTAACATGAACGAGTAGAACGGCACGCTGCTTCCAGGACTGAAGTCATAGGATGAGACACATGCATGGATTTTCTTCAGTAAACATTCTCCTTATGACAAAACTGCTTAGTCACGACCCTCTTTCTTGAGATATGGATTGTCTTCTGACCTTATGACCATTGTTAATTCCTTGTTCCCTTGATAATGGTTTCTGTACATCTGGTTTTCTGATCTTTATCATTGTCGAAAGAAATTCCTTGTACAACAGCCTATATATACTCACAGAAAGATCATTAAAGCACCCTTGCTCCACCAGAGACTTGGGTCCCCGTGTCTTTCTCTCTCTCTCTCTCTCTCTTTCCCTCTGGCTAATTCTCTGGAGTGTGGAAACCTGCCAAGCTCACTCTCCCGCCAGGGCTTTCAAGACCTCTTTGAGAGGGCGTCCTGTGCCTCCGTGAGCTGTACAAGCCCTGTCCTAGGACTTTATTGGTTCTCTGCATAACCCAAGGAATATTAGCTTCTTTCTCTTTCACTTCCTTATCATCGACTCCGGACCACCAGGTTCTAGTCCATTAAAGGACCCCAACACTCTATGATGACTTAGTGGGGTGGGATGGGGGGTGGGAGGGAGGCTCAAGAGGGAGAAAATACACACACACACATATTTATGGCTTCCCAGGTGGCTCAGTGGGTAAAGAATCTACCTGCAGTACAGGAGACACAGGAGATGCAGGTTCAACTCCTGGGTCAGGAAGATCCCCTGAAGGAGGGCATGGCAACCCACTCAAGTATTCTTGCCTGGATAATCCCATGGACAGAGGAGCTTTGCAGGCTATAGCTCATAGTAGGTACAGTTGTGCTACAGCTCAGCACATGGCTGATTTGCATTGTTGTAGTGTTGTGGTTGTAATCTGGTCCCATCACTTCATGAGAAATAGATGGGGAGACAGTGGAAACAATGTCAGACTTTATTTTTCTGGGCTCCAAGATCACTGCAGATGGTGACTGCAGCCATGAAATTAAAAGACGCATACTCCTTGGAAGGAAAGTTATGACCAACCTAAATAGCATATTAAAAAGCAGAGACATTACTTTGCCAACAAAGGTCCGTCTGGTCAAGGCTATGGTTTTTCCAGTGGTCATGTATGGATGTGAGAGCTGGACTGTGAAGAAAGCTGAGCACTGAAAAATTGATGGTTTTGAACTGTGGTGTTGGAGAAGACTCTTGAGAGTCCCTTGGACTGCAAGGAGATCCAACCAGTCCATCCTAAAGATCAGTCCTGGGTGTTCATTGGTAGGACTGATGCTGAAGCTGAAACTCCAATACTTTGGCCACCTCATGCAAAGAGTTGACTCATTGGAAAAGACCCTGATGCTGGGAGGGATTGGGGACAGGAGGAGAAGGGGACGACAGAGGATGAGATGGCTGGATGGCATCACCGGCTCGATGGACATGGCTTTGAGTAAACTCTGGGAGTTGGTGATGGACAGGGAGGCCTGGTGTGCTGCGATTCATGGGGCTGCAAAGAGACAGACAAGACTGAGCGACTGAACTGAACTGAACAGCAGAAAGCAACCCAATTTTGTAAAGTAATTATTCTCCAATTTTAAAAATTCCAATGAAAGGAGATAGGAAATAAATATATAGGATTTTGTATAGTATTAAGTGCTATGGAGAAGAATAAAGACAGTTGGAGAAAGAGCATGCTATTGGGAGTGGCAGATCATGTAGATTTTTCTGGGACACAGTAAAGACTTTGCCTTTAACTCTGAGTGAGATGTGTAGCCACTGGTGGGATCAAAGTATAAAGGATGACATAACCCAACATAAACTTTGAAAGGATCACTTTGCCTGTTATGGTGAGAGGAGACCAAAGGGAAGAAAGAGTGTTAGCAGGGAAACTGGTTATTTGAATACCTTCTTGGTTTATATCTTTAGTTCCCCAACCCCCCACCTCCTCCCATTCCACATGTTTTGAAGGAAAGAACTGTCAAAATACAATTTTCAAAAACAGAAAAACATCACTCTCATGAAAATGTAGAATAATGTGTCAAACCTTTATTAGCTCATTAATGTTTCTTAAAATGAATAAAGGCAATAATGAAAAGAAGGAATATTAGAATTAGGTTGCCAGGTTAGATGCACAAAGTGCTAATGTCCCTCAGGGTAATCAGATCATGATCTTTGGGATTATCTTTTCTAGCAGAGAGAAATCTACACATTAATGTGTAACTTAACAGTGTCTGAGCTTTAATTAAAGAGTCAAAGACAGGTTCATTCTCCTAGACTTGAAAATTAACTAATCCTTGCTTGGGCTTGTTGAACAATGCCCCAGCATACTGACTATTTTGCTTTGCTTCCAAATTTTGGGTAAATTTTCTTTAAAAATTTCCATGAAAACAATTTTTTGAAATGTCTCATAGTTTTGATTCACATTTTTAACTTACTAGAGGAATCTGGAATGGTGCAAAGGTCAATTTCTCTTCTTCTCTGGGTTTCTTGCCTTTTTTATTTGATCTCTGTCCTTTGCCATTGCACTAATATAGGTGAAAGATGCTAAGGACCTATATTTAGGGCATAGCATTGCTTCAGTCTTTAAGTTTACACTCAGAACCAAGACCTTTTCTTGACATTATTCTGATATTCAAGGGCTACTATGTATATAATCTATGAAAATAATCTTCTTCAACAATCATTAATTAATCAGTGTCTCAATCTCTGATTGACTTATTTTATTTCCAGGGACTCAACTACCACAATGATTCCCAATTCTAAATCTCTAACCCTGGTCACTGTACTACACACCAGATCTGTAATTTAAAATGCTCCCCGAGGATCTCTAAGGGCTTCCCCAAAGGCTCAGTGGGTAAAGAATCCACCTGTAATGCAGGAGACACAAGAGATAAAGGTTCAATATCTGGGTCAGGAGGATTTCCCGGAGAAGGAAATGGCAACCCAATCCAGTATTCTTGCCTAAAAATCCCATGGACTGAGGAGCCTGACAGGCCACAGTCCAAAGGGTTACAAAGAGTCAGACACAACTAAGTGGCTAAGCAGGCACACACACACACTGAGTATCTCTATCAGAAGCATCCTGAGCTGGCAATCCCAGCTGATTTCTTTGTTTCTATTCCAGTCCAAATGTATTCCATTCCTCCAGTATTTCTATTCCATCCCATCTACGGTACCACCATTTGCCCAATTAACTAAATTTGTAACTTTAGAGTCATCACTGTTTCACATGCCATATCTATCTACATAACCATCAATTCTTGTTCTTCTCTATCATATCTATTTAATCTAACCCCTCTTCTTTTCCACTTCCACCTCAACCTCCTTTAGGTCTTTACTGTAGTTACTTTAATTATGCTTTAGTCTTGGTACTGCAAAAAAAAAAAAAAAGAAATCCACTGCTATGAGTGTTCTTTTCATAAAATGCCTATATGATTGTCCTGATTAAATCTTTTAAAGGTTCCCCCATTGCCTACAAGGATAAAACTTGAGCTTTTTAGCAAGTAAGCAGATTGCTTTTAGCACTATCCTCATAATCTTCATCAGTAACCCTAATAAACATGAGTTCTAAGTAAAAATAGTGTGCTTGCCATGCAAATGCAACTTTAAGACAAGTTGTCCAATTTTTCCTTCTGTCTAGATGGCTGCCACTCACTCCTTCAACAGAGACATTCTAGAGCTGCCACTGGGTGAATTCCTACTCATTCTAAAAAGCCCCACTCAAAAACTGCCTCCTCTTTGAAAAGGTTTCTGACTCTTCTCCAGATCCCTAGGCCCAGTTAGTTGAGTATTTAATGCTCCTAAAACATCTCCACATTACCTCCTTTAATATTTAACTTTACTATACACAATTTGGTTTTATGTTCTATTTTTTGAGAGCACAGTGGTGTTCTAGTGATCTTTGTTTATTCTAGCACCTACCACAATAAACATTTTTTGTTTTGCTTTATTGTCTGTGTCACATATTCTAAGATATGTGAGATAAAAAGCAAAATTAATGTAATTCTTAAACTTGTAGGAAGGAATCTCATTTGCAATTATTTTTAAATTTTTTTAAAAAAAATTCTTTATTTAAATCAGCAAACTCAGAGTCTTCAGCCTATGGTGAGCAGCCTTCCCTCCAAGGCTCCCTCACCCCCACCTGTTAGCCACAGAAAGGAATGGAAAATGAGAAGCCTGGGGGCCTCTGCCAGGGCAGGCTGCCTCCTAAGTGTGGTGAGTGCAGTCCAGTTGGGGCTGGGGTGGCGGCTGCCACAGGCCCCTCCCTATAAATTAATTCCCTGCAGCCACAGCTGTGGGCAAGGCATACATATTGGGGGAGAAGGCCATCAGGCAGCATCCTTGATTCCCAGCTAAGGAATGGATCACGGCACAGGGCTCAGAGTGAAGAGGCCAGAGGAAAGAGAAGAGGTATGGTGTGGAGAGGGGGTGAGGGGCCCCCCCCCCAATTTTGGTCCCGGGGAAAAGAGGCCAGTTGGTCCAGTTTTGTGGGTTTGGAGAAGGGAATGTATTAGTAAGCACAAGGGGGAGGCCATCGGGCACCCCTGGAGGAGACAAGCCAGGCCCCCACCCTGGCAGAAGGGAGCACGAGAGCTCCCAGGGGCTCTCAGGAAATGTCAATGCTAAAAAACAAACAAACAAACATATATTAACCATTCACGGAGGGCAGGGGCAGGGCTGCAGAGCAGATCAAAGGATCTGGCATGGCATCGCATAGCTGGTCATGCCTGCCTGAGAACCCCCACGGATGGTCCCCATCTGTATGCCAATCACATTCTTGCCCTCCTGCAGTTGGTTGTCCGAGAAGTACCGAGGGTTCTCCTTGGATTTCTTGGGAAACCAGTTAGGATCCCCAGAGAAGAGCCCACTGTCCTGGGCTACAGCCAGCCCAGGTTCATCAGCGTCTGCTGCACACAGGCCACGTTCTTTCCTTCCCAGAGGTCCACAGCTTGGAAGATGTCAGTGGTGTTGATGCCGTAGTGCTCGGCTACTTGCAGGAACTGGGAGATCTGCTCCATCTGCTTGAAGGCCATGGTGGAGGCCTGGATCTTCTTCACTGGGGCCTGCCCCTCAGGGTACAGCCCACTAATGAGCTCACACAGCACCGTGCCATCCTTGAGCCAGTTCTGGAAGTTCTCGCGCCCATGCTGGGGCCAGCCCACATGCTTGCGGCACTGGGTGGTGATCCACTGGATCAGAATTTGCTCCAGGTCCGCATCGTATTGTTTCTCAGTCTTCTGCTGTACCTCCCGGCTCAGGCAGTAGGCAGGTCCCCTGTTGGCCATTCTGAAGGGTGGCGGCAGTGGCTGTGGGGGAGGTTCATGTGGGTCGGAGAGTTGCACACTCGAGGCAGGGGCCACAGCATGAGTCTGAATTTGTTTTTTAAAAAATATTTATTTTTGGCTGTGCTGGGTCTTAGTTGTGGTGCACTGGCTCTTTGTTGTGGCATGTGAACTTCTCTCTAGTTGTGGCACTTGGGCTCAGTAGTTGTGGCACATGGGCTTACTTACCTTGTGGCATGTGAGATCTTAGTTCCTCCACCAGGGGCTGAACCCACATCCCCTGCATTGGAAAGTGGATTTTTGACCACTGGACGACGAGGTAAGTCCCTTGGGTTTATTTCAAATCTATGGTTATTAATCTTTTGGATCAAAGACCCCTATTTAAAAAAAACTATGATGAAAGTTGTAACATTCTACTCAGAAAGATATACACACATGGCAGAATTCACAAATGTCCTGAACCCACTGATACCTGACAAATTAAGAAACTATCTTTTCATTTTTATTAATTTTTTGAGTAAGAATATTTACATGGAACAAAAATTTAAAAGTAATAAACTTTACGATGAATAGCCTGTTCTAGCCCTCTTCCCATAATGTTCAATTCAATTCCTGTTCTCTCAAAGTGACCACATTTTGTGTATTTTTCTGGAGACAGTCTCTGTATATGAACACATGAGCGTTAAAAATTCTTTTTTCTGACATTTTTTTCCATTTATATTGGCAATTACTCCACATTAGGTACCTAAGGTTTCAAATGCACAGAATTCTATTGCATTGCTGTACCCTAATTTTTTTACAATGTACTTTTAGATTCTGAAACAATTTCAAGCTTACAAAAAAGTTGGAAGCACTGTACAAATCATTTCTTTCCAGAACCAACTGAAAGTAAGTTGCTGAATCAAAATGACAATGAGATATCACCTCACACCAGTCAGAATGGCTATCATAAAAAAATCTACAAATGCTGGAAAGGGTGTAGAGAAAAGAGAACCCTCCTACACTGTTGATGGGAATTTAAACTGGTGCAGCCATTATGAAAAACAGTCTGGAAGTTCCTTATAAAAACTAAAAACAGAGATACTATATGATCCAGCAAGCTCACTCCTGGGTATACATCTGGAAAAGATGAAAAACTCTAATTTGAAAAGGTACACGCATCCTAATGTTCATAGCAGTACTATTTACAATAGCGACTACTTACAATAGCCAAAGACATGGAAGCAACCTAAGTGTCCACTGACAGATGAATGGCTATAGAAGATATATACAATGGAATTCTACTTAGCCATAAAAAGAATGAAATATTGTCATTTGCAGCAATATGGATAGGCCTAGACAACATCATGCTAAGTGAAGTAAGTCAGAGAGAGAAAGACAAATATTATATGGTATAACTTGTATGTGAAATCTAAAAAATAATACAAATGAATGTATATACAAAGCATAAACAGACTCACAGGCATAGAAAACAAACTATGGTTACCAATGGGGAAAGGGAGGGGGAGAAGGATAAATCAGAAGTACGGAATTAACAGATACACACTACTGTATATACAACAGATAAGCAACAAGGATTTACTGTATAACACAGGAACAATATTTAATATCTTATAATAACCTATAATGGAAAATAATCTGAAAATATAAATATATGACTGAATCACTTTGCTGTATACTTGAAACTAACACAGTATTTTAAATCAGCTATAACCTCAAAAAAAAAAAGTAAGTTGCTGACTTGATGTTCTATCACCCCTGAATGCTTTTCTGTGTATTTTATACAAATACAAACATTTTCTTGCATAATCACAATACAACTCTCAAAATCAGGAAATTAACATTGTACATTACTACCATCTAATTTTCAGATCGAATTCATATTTCACTAGTTGTCCAGATAATGTCTTTTATGTCAGGTGCAATTCCTCAATCTTTTCTTGACTCATAACACTATAGATTACAGGCTAGATATTTTGCAGAATGGACCTTAACTTGATTCATATGATATTTTCTCATGATTAGAATAAGTTTATGCATCTTTGGTAGGAGTATAATAGAACTGGTGCTATGTTCTGCTGACTGCATTCTATCAGGTGGCATTACAGTTTCTATTTGTTCCATCATGATGATGTTCATGTTGATCATTTGATCAATGTGGAATCTGACAGACTTCTCCACTGTAAAGTTACTCATATTTTCCCATTTATAATCAATATGTGTTTTTCAGCAGGTGATTTTGAAAATATATAAATATTTTAATCCCCATGAAACATTCACCTTATTCATTTATTTAAATATATCACTAGAGGCTCATGATTTCCTGCTTTATTCAATGGTTTATGACCCATTAACCATCATTATTTTGATCCTCAAATTGTCCCAGATATGGCCAGTGGGAAGCCTAGTTAAGCTGGTTTCCACGTGTTCTTTTTTAAAAAAATATTTATTTGGCTGCGTTGGGTCTTAGTTGTGGAACGTGGGGTCTTTGTTTTCATACATGGACTCTCTCTAGTTGTAGCATGCAGGCTTAGTTGCCCTATGGCATGTGGGATCTTAGTTCCCTGACCACGGATGGAAATCACGTCTCCTGTATTGCAAGTCAGATTCTTAGCTACTGAACCACCAGGAAAGTCCTCTGTGTATTCTTGACAGGTTCCCATCATTCTTCCAGCACTTCCTTACTTTCTAATACAAAAAGATGATCCAGGCTAAACTTATGCTTTTCCTGCCCCAATGGTAGAATCAGCTATTTCTGTAAGAATTCTTGATTCCTTTTAGTAGAGAATGACATTTAGAAGCCACAATCTATTTCTATATCTCTATGAATTGCAGCCACTGATATTGCTAATTCTATTCCAACACTGGAGAAGGAAATGGCAACCCATTCCAGTATTCTTGCTTGGAGAATCCCAAGGGCAGTGGAACCTGGTGGGTTATAGTTCATGGGATTGCAAAGAGACACGACTAAGCTACTGACCCATTCCAACACTACAGAGTTCATTCTCCCTTCCTACTTGTTTTCTCCCTTTTCCTATTTGTAACTCCCTTCTTGGACAATAAGAAACCAGACTCCTGTTATCCCTAATATATTTCCCTATTTGATCGATCCTTCTGAAGGTAAGCAAACTCCTGGTGACTGCTGTACCTTCCCTTACATGGAAACCTTTCTTACCCAACTCAGGATCCAATACCCTGCATCAAGATTCCCCCACCCTCACCATGTCTTCCTCTTCTTACCTGTGCTCCAATATCCCTCTCTGGATTTCTGGCATCCCCACCCCACAAACCACAGATGTGTACTTTACTCTTCTTGATCTAATGGCTTTAGGATGGTATTGTTCCAGGAACAGAAGTTTGAAATTGAATGGTTTGTCCAGGATTCTCCAAGTGTTTGCACTGAATGCAGGTTTGTGCTGCATTCCCAGGAACCCCTTCAGCCCTAAGGAAGCCTGGATATTAGCCACCCCAGGAAAATAAACTGTCTTAATTTTCTCAAAGGTCATCATATAACTTTTAGGTCTTTCTATATATTAGAATTACCACTCAAGAGCTCTTTAGGAACCATTGTGAGTAAATTATTAAACCTCCATGGAAGGAAATATAGCGCAATCAACAATATTGTAAATGCACATACTCTCTGGCCCAGCAAGTCTACTGCTAGAAATTTATCTTAAATGTATACCAACCTTGTATAGATATGATTACCTGCAATATTGTTTTTAATAGTAAAAGGATAAATTAAAGGGGCATTTAAAAAAATTATAGACCCTTTCCCATTAGGAACACAAAACAATAATCAGATTTGGCTAAAAAGTTTAACAACTCTCAGAAACAGAAATTAGCACCATAAAATGAAGCAGCTCTGCAATTCACAACGCAAAAACAAAAGCAGGATGACACAAAACAGCCAGGAAATAATTTTTCTACCACATTTGTTAGATACTTGTCAGAAAACCATTTCCCAGGTCATTAGCTAAATTCTTTACACAGCCCAGTAGTGGTATCATGACACTTTTCAGAGTGTCCCCAAAGATTGCCTCGGGCTTGCCAGAAACTGGAGAGGAACTTGAGCGGTTTGGTCAGGATTTTCCAGCTTTTTGCACTGGATACAGTTTTGTGCTGCACCCCAAGGACCCCTTCAGTCGCCAGGAAACATGAACAGTAGCCACCCCAGGACCAGGTTACACGGTGAGAAAACGTAGACGGGCGCTGTCCAACATGGCACCGCTCAGCAGACAGGGCTTTCACATTCAAATTCAGTACGGTTAAAAACTCAGTTCCCAGGTCGCGGTCGCTACATTACGAGCGCTCAACAGTCACAAGCACGCTAGTGGCTACCCTATTAGCGCAGATGTAGAATCTTTCCATCACCTCGGGAAGTCTATCGGACAGCGCTGACACAGTTTAGAGTTAAAAACAAGAACAAGCTTGTAAGCCACTAGGCTCCACAATCAAAAACAACCAAAAGACGTTATTACTCTTTCCAAATATTTTGAGGGGAAAAATTATGCTAAGAAACACCAAACAAAAAGAAATCTGCAAAGGCACCTGCCAACAGGCTCCCTCAGCAACTCACTCGTTAATTCCCACGGCGGAGGCCGTCCGTCTTTCTGTGGTACATAACTCCTCAGACTTGTAGAACTCAGCAAACTCCCAAGGCGGTGGGCAACTGAGGGCAAAACTCCTAAGATTTAACTGTTCAAAGCGGCCGACGCCTGTATTCACAGCGCGGGCGAGCCTCGGGTCGGTGTTCCACAGCTGGACGCGGCCCGGGTCTCGCGCGACCCTCAGTCAGGCGCTTGTCACCAGCTGAAAGCGCGACGCCGCCCGTGTGTGCGCGCTCCCGCACGCGCGCCAGCCGCGGCGCGAGAGGCTCTCGGCGGCCAATGGGACGGGGAGCCGCTCTCCGGGGGCGGGGCCGTGACGTACGCACCTCGTGACCCTGCTAGCGGCCTGCGCCTAAGGAAGCCGGAAGCGGCTGCTACCCGCAGCCCCGACTGGAAGCGAACAGGCGGCGGTCTGCGCCTTGGGGGTTGTGGAACCCCGCGATGGACCCGAATCGGACCATCGAGCGGCGGAGGTCATCGTTGCTGCTTCTGCGGCTGCTGGTGGTGGTGCTACTGTGGTCGGGGCTGGCTCTGGGCACCTTCTCCGTTGGTAGCAGCCCCCACAGAGTCCTCCGCGACCTCCTGTCGGAGGAGCAGTTGCTGGAGGTGGAAGACTTGTCCCTGGCTCTGCTGCAGGGCGGAAGGATGGGGCCACTGTCACTACCCCCAGATTTGCCGGATCTGGATCCCGAGTGCCGGGAGCTGCTGCTGGACTTCGGCAACAGCAGTGCAGAGCTGACCGGGTGTCTAGTGCGCGGCGCCCGGCCAGTGCGCCTCTGTCAGACCTGCTACCCACTCTTCCAACAGGTCGCCAACAAGATGGACAACATCAGCCGAGCCGTGGGGGTGGGTAGAAGAGCACACCCGGGACCTCTGGCGTGGATTGTTGGGAAGGGAGGAGGATGTAATGATAGTAAATTCGGCTGGGGGCGGGGGGGAGGGGAGGGGGCTCCTCAGTTTCCCCATCTGTGAGAAAACGAGGTTGGATTGGGACAGTGGAGTTAGGGGCATCAGAAAAGTGGGTGGTGGTATAGGGCTTGGGGTTTGGATTTTTGCCTCCATGGCTGCTCTTGGGCCTCTTTCGTTACATATTTGCAGATAGGTATGACTAGTTTTCTTGGGGCTTCTGCACCCCAACCCTACCTTTTCTTCCTTTCCTTCACGCCTTTGCCCCAACTCTGCAACAGCTTCTTCCCCTCTCCACTTGCAGTTCCCACGAAGGACTCTCCTGAAACCCCAGGTGAAGTGGAGAAACTAGTGTGGTGGTGATGAGGAACTTGAACTTTGTAGCCAGACTGTTTCAGAGTCACCACTTTCTAGAAGTTTGACCTCAGATTAATTATCTTGGAGTCTTAGGTTCCTCCTGTGTACAATGGAGAAAAACCGCTGCCAGATGTGACTGTTAAAAGAATAAAAAGAGATAATGCATGACAGTTCATGTTAGTCATTAATACAGTCTGGAGGCATTTGGCCAGGAGACCAGTTCTTCTCTTATTAGGGGTGTACTGGCTTCCCTGGTGGCTCAGAGGGTAAAGCGTCTTCCCGCAATGCGAGAAACCCGTGTTCGATCCCTGGATGGGGAAGATCCCCTGGAGAAGGACGTGGCAACCCCACTCCAGTATTCCTGCCTGGAGAATCCCATGGACGGAGGAGCCTGGTGGTCCATGGGGTCGCAGAGAGTCGGACATGACTGAGCGACTTCACTTTCACTTTCTCAGCAAGTTATATTCTCTGTGCCTGTTTTCTCATGTGTAAGAGGGAGATAAAAGGAACCCAGAAAACTGGCCGCACAGGGACTTCCCTGGTGGTCCAGTGGCTAAGAGTTAAAGCTTCCAATGCAGAGGTCCCAAGTTTGATCCCTGCTTAGGGAATAGGACTCCTCAGGCCGCGATTAAAAGATCCTGCATGCTACAACTAAGACCTGGTACAGCCTAGTAAAGAAATAAGTATTTTATAAAAGAAAAAAACTGGCACATAGTCATAGTTTTCAGTAAATGGGAACTAAAATTTTACAAAATGGTAAAGCTGCTCTCTCTCTTGGTACTCAGAGCTCTTCTGGTCATGTGGTAGGTGCTCTGAGGCACTTAATTAAAAGAAAGACCCAGAGACATGTCCCTGCTCCTAAGTACCTTATAGGGCTTGGCGTAGGAAAGGATTAGAGTGTCAAGGCTGGTGGGAGTCATGAGGTATGGGCTGGATATGCCTTTTAAAGGAAAAACATGAGGAATGACATTGGGATTATGGAGTGGAAAGTTCCTCTTGTACTGAGAAAAAAAAAAGTCTCATGAAAATGTGATTAGAATTATTTCATAAATCATGGTTGGTTTGACAGAATATAGACATATATAGTTGCATCCCCTACTTTGTCAGCCTGATAACTACTTGACATAAATATGCATTTTTATGTGACTAGGGAATTTATTTGCATTAAATAAATTCTGTGCTCAGTCTTTCTGTAAAGAGTAAGTTTTCTTTTTTTTTTTCCACTTTTTATTAGTTGGAGGCTAATTACTTTACATCATTGCAGTGGTTTTTGTAAAGAGTAAGTTTTCAAGGAACTTTAGGCTTACATGCAATATTTTTTGTGCATCCTTCTATTGGGTATAGCCAGGGATATGTGTGTGTGTGTGTGTGTGTATACCCCATTATTTTAAAGTAAAGCACCCAACACTTGTCCCTTGCTATCATACTATAGCAGGATATGTACAGCATCATATCTGATTATTAGTTGTTCTGTGGTTGAAATGACTGTGAATCATGATGCACTGCTTGGCTCTTGAGGCAGCAAATATTTTTCTCATTTGTGTAGTTTCTGTGGAATTAAAATGAAGTTAAACAATTATCCCAAACTCTGGTGGTACAGTGTTATGGGCTTCTGTGGGCCAATTATGGGCCAATTTGTGTATGAATTTCCACATGAATTCCCCACTGCCCATGGCAGTGTCGGGGCAGCGTGAACTGTGTCCTCTGCTTTGTGTCTCAGACTACCAGTGACCTATGAACCTGGCTTGCCTCACTTTTGTGTGAAAGGATCAGAGGAAAGAGATAACAGGAGGCAGAATGACCCTTTCCCTAATCTATATTTCCTCTCCCAACTCATCCATCCCTTTCCTCAGTAGAACTGGATGTCATAGCTCAAAAGCATGATTTCTGAAGTTCTGGGGGGTACTTCATGGATTTAGTAGGCTTTTTCAGATGGGTGTGGGAATTGAGCCAGTATGTGTAGTAATGAACGTATGGAAAAATATGTATGAATTTCTTAGGAGTGAACTTAAAATGATCAATTGTCCTTTGTGTGTGTGTGGCAGGGAGTTGTTTCTGGAGAGTAATGTATTTTCTTTGACTCACATAGACTCAAGTCTTTCATTTAAATCAGTTTGATTAGCAAGTACATGCTATTCTTAAATATTGAACAGGTAGGGTACTGAAGGAAAAGGACGGGATAGTCCAAGCTTCAAACTTCAAATTATCAGTGTAGTTAGGGAAATAAAATTATTGAGAAAATTTTAAAAAGGAAAAAACCATCCATGTGAATGTTTCAAATTGTACAGTAGGATTTTAGAACAAAAGAGTGAAGATGCTGAATTAAAGGAGGGAAGAGAGCAAGAGAGGGGGGTGCTTATCAGAGAAAACCTACAAGCAGAATTTTATCAAGACATTCTTTCTCAACTCTGTAGTGTGAATCCATGTCCATGGATTGATTGAGAGAGGAGGAGAGTGTAAAGAGAAGAAGAATCAATGGTAGAAATTAGCACACTATTTCTGTGGTGCAGCAAGCTGATTCATTTAACTGTAATAGAGTTATCTGAAGAGAATTCTATTTTCTAGTCACTTTCTCTTGGAATTAATGGGTCAAGGACTCCATATAGTTTTATTATCTCAAGATAAGAATACTGTGATTTTTGAAACCTGAGTAATGGAATTACTAGATTCCTTCTTACTTGCATCATACTTTCTTCTTTTAGTTTAAACTGATAGGAATATAGTTTCATTGAGCTGTTCACCATCATCAGAGTGGTTGCCAAGATGCCTTGCATCTCCTCCCCCCATTCTGAATTGCTAATCTCTATCTTATTCTACTTGGTTCGTTTAAAATTTATATAGGCAGATAGATAGACATGTTTGCATGCTAAGTCAGTTCAGTTGTATCCAACTCTTTGCGACCCTATAGACTATAGTCTTTCAGGCTGCTCTGTCCATGGGATTCTCCAGGCAAGAATACTGCAGTAGGTTGTCATTTCCTCTTTGAGGGAATCTTCTCAACCCAGAGATCAAACCCACATCTCCTGTGTCAACTGCATTGGCAGGCAGGTTCTTTACCACTAGTGCCACCTGGGAAGCCCAGATAGACATAGAGATATGTATATATATTTATGAAGGTGCTAGTAATTGAGGATATGTATCTGGAAGTGTTCAACTTAATTTTAGTGTAGATTTACAAATTCTTAGGACTAGTAGGAGAAGATTGGAACACAACATGACATAATATGTCTTTCATTAGAGATTAGAATGCACTGTTTCTTTGTAGTTCAGTTGCTAAGTTATGTCCAACTGTTTCAACCCCATAGACTGTAACCCGCCAGGCTCCTCTGTCCATGGGATTTCCCAGGCAAGAATACTAGAGTGGGTTGCCATTTCCTTCTCCATCACTGGTTCTTATTCATTCAGAAAAATTCTTGAATACTTATGATGTGCAGGGTAGTTGTACTTACTAGGGATATAGCTGTGAATGAGAAGAGCCTATAGACTGATAGAGGAAACAGACATTCAACATCATTGTAATTATTTAGTTCAGGTGTGATATAAGTGTTGCAAAGAAAAAAATCCCAGATGCCACCAAAGCATGTAACAAGAGTGCTGATCAGGACTCAGGCTGAGAATAGATAGAAGTGGTGAATAGTTAAAGACACCTAAAATTTGAGAGGGTGGGAGAATGGGGAGAATGTATACATGTAAAGAAGTAGCAGGTGTGAAGACTCCGAGAGTCTGGTGTGTTTAAGGACAGAAAGAACTCAAAGCACTGTGAGCCAGGAGGATACTAGTGATTTGAGCCTGAGAAAGTGGGCAGGTGCCAGGCCATGAGCCCCATGCAGTGAAAGTGGCTGGGTTGAATCCAGAAGGATGATCTGTCTTATTTCACAGCGTTTTTACAAGGATTTAGTGAGCT